CTAGAAAAATTTAGTTGTTGTATAGTCACTAGTTCTGTTTACCATTATGTGTGTGTTGCTCTTAAAAGTTATCAGACATTTTTCATTGCATTACAATTATTTTTACATTTGCAGTGTCGTGTGACTCACTTGACACAAAGCGAACGTAACTTCCACGTGATTTACCACTTGCTATCTGGCTGTACGAACCAGGAAAAAGGTAAAAAGTTTCTTTTTCATAGACATTTTAAATGCTGCTTTGCACCCAAGCATTTCCCTAAGTGTGAGAAAATAGCTCGAGCACTTTTTGATCGAGTGTAATAAAACAAAATGCAACACAACGGCCGATCAGAAGAGTGGGAAATACCTTGAAGAGCCAATGAGAACTCAAAAAAGAAACAACCAACTGCCTAAAGCGCGGGAAACGCGGGCGACCAAGTCATGATTGTTTTCACTTTTGTAACTGATTGGTTGAGAAAGTGACGCGAGTTTTTCCGACCAATCACAAGGCGAAGTAAAGCAAGTGTACAATCTTTGTTTTTCAGGTCAGTTTGGTCTTCAAGGAAACGCTGAGGACTATTTCTATTTAAATCAAAGTGATGTGTACACGATTGATAGTAAAGATCACAAGAGAGACTTTTTGGAAATGAGGGTGCGAATAGAAAGAAAGTTCTGCATGATTAAGTTAGAGAATAGTGCAACTGCCGTTAAATTTGGAATTCCATGGGCACTTTTTCTCAGTTTTAGCTTTTTATGTCGTGTGGACAGGGTAAGATAGAGCTTACCCCTAAACCGACATTTTTTAACTTCTAATAGAAAACAATAATAATATCAACGATAAGCTGTAAAGCGATCAAAGTACAAATTTCAGTATAAATAATATATATACTGAAATATATAATATATATATACTGAATAATATATATGATATATAGAATGTGACACTAAACGTGACTCATTGTCTTTCTTCAGACCGCACTGGACATGGTCGGCGTAGAAACCGCGAAGCAACAGATAATTTTTAAGGTGCTGTCCGCCATTTTAACTCTTGGCAACATCGAGTTCAAAGAAACTGAAAATGTGGCCTGTCCAACTGAACAGAAATGTAAGAATTTTTGGACTGTCTTCATCCCCTGAAACTTTTGTCATCTTAAACATCACTTTTGACCATGATCTCAAAGCGTCTTCAAGGTCACAAAGTCATTGTTTCTTAGTTTTCCCTTTTATCTTCTTTAGCTACCTTACTACAGTTAACAAACTAATCCCTCTGTCTTGGACAAAAGTCTTTCAGATCGTAATACTCAAAGTGAAGTGTGAATTAGCACAATAAAACTACACTGAAAATCGCTTTCACATATCTCTATCAGTCATTTTCTCTAACGAGCTACCTATCTGCAAATCGAAAGAAGTGCTTTGAATTTCAGTTGCTACGTTTGCTCAAGAATTTATAAAGACATAAATTTGATTTCTTCCGGTTCAGCTGATTTAACTTTATTACAGCTAACTAGACTTTGATTAGTTTTGCTTCTATTTCATCAGTGCTGGATTGCCTCTCTAAACTGCTCGGAATTAATAGAGAAAATATGGAAGAGAAACTAGTCAGGTATGGAAATAACAAACGAAGTGAAGAAAGGATGTAGCCATGTTGTGTCATGAAGTAAACACCTGTGGTTGAAATGACCCCCAGCGATTTTTTAATGAATTTTCTTGTGTTTAAAACAGTGTCTTCATGGATAAACATGTACATTTATGTAAGTGCGAAATATTGTAACACACTGTCAGGCAGGGTATCAGATGTTAGTTTATACTAAAACAGTGGATAGCGTTGAAGGCGCGCTCTGATTGGTTAGTCAAACTCCGAATATCCTTTGCTATTTACTTCTGAGCAACTCGGGAAAAAATGGCGTCCCAGTTTGCATCCATGACAAGCAAAGAAATCACTCAAATTAACGACGGTGGTGTATATTATCTCACTGTTGTATATTATCTCACTGTGGTTGGCGGTGGATATTTACCTCGCCGCTTCGCGGCTTGGTAAATATCCACCACTAACCACCTCCACTTTGGTGAATAGTTGTTAATTAAACACTGCTTACTGTGCATTGTATTGCTAAGCTGAGATCCATTTTCAGTGATTGCATCTAAGGTATTTGAGTTCCAGGCAGTATAACTACAAGGTGAGATGATTGAATAACATATGGAATAAAGAACTACTGCAAAACAGTGGTCTTTGTAACACTTGTGTTGACCTAATATATATATCTTATTAACCAAGCGCAAGGGTCGTACTGGGAGAATATCGGCCCGAGGTCTTGACAGTACGGACTGAGCACAGCAAGGTCCATACAAAAAAGACCGAGAGCCGATATTCTTCCAGTATAGTCCCGAGCAAGCTTGGTTAATAATACGACTGAAGTTCAAAGGGAAACAAGTGCGGTATCATTCGGGACCATTCGGGACAGTGCCCGGTCCAATACTGAGAGAATATTGACCGGCAATAGAGCATTTTGATTGGTTGATTTTAGTTCTTGGCCCTCTGACTGCCTTAGTCGTGTAATAAAAACTTTTATTAATCCCCGATACATTTTTGGGCTTTTTTTTATATTCTCCATCCTCGAAGGGACTCTCAATTTCACCATTTCCAGTTTCTAATTAGTTCAAGACCAACCCAGTTCTTTTCATTGATTTCCAATATAACATGGTTTTTTCTTTGAATTTCTACTTAAAACCTACTTTAAAAAGTTCTCAGTAGTTTGGCACCTTCGTACATACGCGATATTGTTTCACCTTATACTCCAAACATCTTTTTTGTTCCACCTTTCGTTTAAAAAACATACCGCACAAGATCCTTCTCCGTGCCAGCCCCAACACTGTAGAATGCTTTGCCATATAAGGTCAAAAACAGTTCGCA